CCATCATTTCCCTAGTCAAAGGTACGGACAGAGCAAGGGATATTGGTAGGTTGATGCATGGAGGTAGTTCATAAAAGCTGCTTTGGGTACAAGTCGTGAACAGACTATGCGCTCATGTGATCCGGGGACGGTTGAGCCACAACCGAGCAGAAGTACTACTGTGTACCGAACTACGAACGGAAAGCTCAATTGATAACAAGAATGGAAACGTTTATCAGGGCTAAATGATAAATTGGACGAAGTTAGACACCTACCATCAGTTCCCAGACCAGAATCGCCGCTCGGGTCGGTGAAGGAGGGCATGTCCAACAGCCCAGGAGGTGGTCGAACACCCCAGCGAAAAGACAGGATTTTGATGAAATGACAAACAAAAAGTTTGAGAGCTGTCACACAAAGATAGGAAGCCGGTGAAACTCTTGTTTGAAGCGATTGGTTTGAAGGTCCTCAAAAACAGGAACACTTGGTTCAAGCAACGGCGGATTGCAGCCTGAGGAGAGTAGATAGACGCACTCACGAATCACCTTGGATAGACGGAGAAGGCCAGAGAAGAGAAAGAAAGAGAATAATAGCGGTCGAGTGGGGAGCCGACAAGAGAAGAGACACGGTTTGAACTTTGGAAGCGGTCGGGAATCGAGTGGATTCTCCTGGTGGGAACCACTGTTTAAAGGGACCGAATCGTTGTTTGAGAATACTAGACGGACAGATCTAGATGCTTGAACAAGATATGAACAGATGCGACAGGATGACGATAATAATATGGAGGAGAAAGAGAATTGCGATGAAAGCTGGCTGGGAAGAGGAAAAAGAGAGTGGCGAAAATTGCCCAAAAAGTCGCTTATCAGGCCAAAAAGACTGTGGCCTCAGGTGACTAGTTTCCCTTTTCAGGTACCTCAAGAGATAGATACGTACTTGGGAGACGAAGTACGAATCCTCAGGCAATCATCGTCTAGACTTGCCCTCCGGAAAACAAAAGAACGGCTTCTGCGGCGCCAATGTTTGCTTAGTCCAGAGCCAGTGGCTTGCAAGAGACGATTATACATTGGCCTAGCGTGTTGGTTGACTTCACACTCGTGACTTATTCCTCTGAAGCGGGTATCATCAGCTTCCCGCAGGAGTCAGACAAGAACAACGTCAAGATAGAGATACCTAGCTGTTCACTATCTCGGATGCTGACAATGATCTGCAATGCAGATACTGGTAAGTCTAGCATTATTACCGAATGATTCTGACTAGCGCATTGAGGTTCGTTGCTCTGGGGCTCAGGAATCAAATCGCATGGGGAGAAATAAGCGTTGACCCCGCAATCAGGTGGTTACGCGGTGATCTTGCAAAAGTCGTACATTATTCATCCATAGTCATACTGTGGTTTGTCGCATGGGGTTTTCTTTTTCGTACGAGAAGCCATACCAAATGACCGAGTCGCTTGGGAATCATCTGGTGTTGGGAGGACAAGTGGTAGTCAACAGAGGGACAGACAGTGTGAGGGGAAACAAGGGATTATATAGGTTCGTCGCCTGAAAAATGCCTGGCTTGCAAGGCCACCAAGCTAGAATCACGTTCCTTTTTATGGCGTAATTACCACTACAATTACAGCAACAACACGGTGCTGTACTGAACATTTTTCTCATTGCATCCTAATGCTGTGTACTCCAGGCGTCTGACCTAGTCATACCTTTCATGCAAATTCTAGTTGTGATAAGTTACACTCCACACCTTGAAGCCTAACTTTCCTCCTAACCCGACCTCGTTTGATCCAGCAGCATACTCCAACGAGTAGTCTTGACCATTGCCGAGGAAGGTAATATTCACTTGAGCCGCCTGGTCACTGCTGTTGGCTGGTAGGAGGGTGCCGCTTGGCCCGAGCCATTTACCATCCAGAGCACTGGAGATCAGGAAAAGCCCGCTCTCCTCGCCATTCGAATAGTGGATCACCCATCGATGTTTCTTTTCGCTGTGATCAGAAACAGCGGGACTGCTGCTCAGATGAGTGGAGTTGCCGGCATTCGTGAGTGCATAACCTGCTCTTTCAAACACCAGGTAACGACCTTCGGTCAAGTAACCAACGCATTCCTTGTATCCGTCCTCGAACCACAAGGCTTCAGACGTGTCGTTCTGCTGCCCGTACGGGACAGATGGTCGTTGAACCGGATACTTGGCTTCGCACATGGATGTACCAACGTACGAGTTACCGATCATAGCGGGCGCATCGGCATTTGGAATACGAGGGATACTGTAGTCAGGCTATGAAATCGTCAGTGATGTTACCGAAGCAGATTGCATGGTCACTCAGGGCCCTACATGGTCCAAATCCAAAGCGTTGACGAGGTTGGACATATGTTCCCGACGCCAGTGCACCATCTGATCGGTCTGGATGTTCTTGTATCCGCGAGCGGTCAGCCATTGTTCCAGGAAGAGGATCTGTGAGTTGTGGTCTGCTCGCTCGGTAAAAACACGGCCGCCCCTGGTCCAGGGAGACACCATGTAGAAGGGAACTCGAACGCCTATCAAGGTATCAACCGCCAGTACAGTTCAGGTTACCAATGATACGAGGAGAATCCCAGCTCACCGGGTCCGACAAAGATCTGCCCGAATTTGCCATACGGGTCCTCCATCCATTCTCCTGGAGTACCTTCAGGGGAGTGAAAGGGAACAACGTGGTCTCCAAAGCCGCCAGACTCTAACGGCCGCGTCAGTGTCAACCGTTATGATCGAGCGGCTAATGTTTTCATACCATCGTAACTGACAAGCAGCAGTGTGGAGGAATACTTGGGGCTGTTCACGACCGAGTCGACCACCTTCTTTTGAAGCCATGCACCGTCCTTTGGCATGTACGGGGGATGCTCGGACAGCTCTGCAGGACCAACGATGAAACTGATTTCTGGGAGAGTTCCGTTTGCGGCTGCTTCATAGAACGTTTCCAGTCCTAAGTAAGCCATGCCTTTCTGCGCCAGAGGCGATGAAGCCGAAACATTTTGATACTGCTCAAACCAGGCCAGAGGGTTGTCGTCAAAGTTGTTATCATCCTGATACACTTGCCAAGAGACACCTGCATCTTCGTAAAACTCGAAGATGGTCTTCCACTTGAGAGGATAACAGTTGACGTTGTTCTTGTCGCAGCCTATTGAATCGATCTTGTCAATCTGAAGAACAGCATTTATGGTCATGCTTCTTACCCGGAGTCTCATTATTGTCCAAATAAGGTCCTCCCTGGTCAGCGCTCTGCGGACTTCCAGGTATGTTTACGGAGCCGCTGACCAATGTGACGCGGTTCGGGTTGGTGGATGTGATTTGAGCTTCCTGGATTGATGTCAATACTTGGTAGAGTGTACCTGCCAAGAAGAGTTCGAACCTGATACATGTCACCCGCCGTCCAGCCCTCAGCAATAGCAAAGTGAACAGGGATGTCGCTCCTCTTGAGGTATCCCCAGCTCCACGGTGTATTATTGCGGGCCCAATGATTGTTCAGGCCATGATTCAGAGCCGCCTGGTTATCAGTATAACCATTATCTCCCGCCACCATGCACTGAATTGCGTCGGGCCAAGATCCACCTTGATAGCCGAGATACCAGGGAAGGAGGGTTTTGGCGTCTGTGGACATGCTCGGGTCGACTTGCCTGAACGAAACATGCGTCAGCTATTTTCTTGCCAGTGAGAGCGCTCGATCGACTTGTGATACGCACTGATACCAGACAGGCAACCCGCCAGGGTTGACTTGCACGTTGGGGTCATTGAAACCCCGGACTCCTGCCATCGTGCCAAAGTACTGTGTTTATCAGTGACCGCTTTACCCCAGGATTGAGATGTAGCTGCCAAAGAACATACATTGTTCCATGACCTGTTTTCCTGCATGAAAATAACGACATGCTCAATGTCCTTCAAAGATCCGGCAATGACAGGCCGGCTCCCGAGGAGCACGGCCAAGGCAGCGCCAATCAATAGTGGCATTTTCGACCTCAGTCTTCAGCTCAGAACTCAGTGCTGAACAAGTTAGAGTGACCACCGAGAAAGAGAGGAGGACTTGCTACCAAACTGCAGGGCGAAGGATCAATTTATCCAATTTTGGTGCCTCAGTTCGGCGATCTTTCAGCAACGTCTGTATACAATACCGTTGCATCCTGGACTTACATAGGTTACTCAAGTCCAGAGGCCGAAGGATCATAAAAAGCACAAAAACATGGTAAACATTCGAAGATTACATTCGACAATCACGGAATGTGATTTGATCATCACGTAAAACGTTGGCAAATAGCACGGCGCCTTTTTAGCTTGATTCTCTATCAGCACTGCAACAAGCAATATTGAAGAAGCCTTGACAGGCTGATAAGCGATGAATAGGTGGAGTTGAAGCCTTGAGTTGGTGCGGAGATGTAGTTCTGGATTGCTTCCATCAGGCGTTCCTTGCGAGCACGTGTGGCAGGATGTGGTTCCTGCTGGATGCCTGAGGATGGTACCATCCTTCGAGGGAATGGAGATCAACATGATGCAATGTAACCCCTCGCTTGTTGCCGGGATTCCGGACGAGACGAGGAGAAATTGTAACAGTTTCATATGACAGATCGGCAAAATAAATTGTTCTTCAAATGAACGATTTCTCTGGAGTTGAAAGACGATGGAGGAACAGCGCGGCTGTTGCGCAGAGACCTCCTTGAGCAAGAACCAAATAGAATCAGAGGAGCTATTACCGGTGTCTCAGCGATATGAGAGATCTTGTGATGAATGCACATCGACGAAATCAAAGAATTGGTCCTATGGATTAGTGGTGTGGCCATTGGCTGTATGTGTCTTGATCGCGCTAGCATATCTCCAACAAACCTCCACACCGAACCCTTGGATCTCGTTGCCAGGCCTATCACAAACCCATGGCAAAGACAGTCATTCGCAAGTAAGTGACCCCGATGCATTGCGTCCGATGATAAAGCTTCATCCTGAGGATCACATATACCGTGAACCGAAAACGCGACATCTTGACTGGGTGGTCACTTCAAACTATTTACGTCCTGATGGAGTTCTTAAACGGGTCTATCGGATCAATGGTGAAGATCTATTGTCCTGCCTCCACTGGAACTATCTTGCTGATCGATAATCTGACAGGTCTATTCCCAGGTCCAACGATCGAAGCTCGCTCGGGCGATACTCTCGTCATAACCCTGACCAACAGACTTGAAGATGAGTCGATTTCCATCCATTGGCATGGCTTACATGTGCAAAGTAAGTGCTTCATTGATTTGTAGCTTGTCGTACCGAATCACTAATGATATCTTCCAGGCCCAATGGACGGTGCGGTTGGAGTCTCGCAATGTCCAATCGCTCCAGGGTCCAAATTCATCTATAACCTCACCATTCCTGAGAACCAGAGCGGGACATTTTGGTACCATGCTCATTCCGGAGTGGCCAGAGCAGACGGGCTTTATGGAGGCTTCGTAGTGCATGCGCCTCCCCTTAAACTTCCTGTACGTGGCCTCATGGCCGAAGAGGAGAAAGCAAATCATCGAGACAACTACAGCGAGGACATGTTGCTTCTGATTGGTGACTGGTATCATCGACCAGCTTTCCAAGTTCTAGACTGGTATATGCGCGCTGGATCTTTTGGCAATGAGGTTAGTAGGCCAAATAGATCTGGTTGTTGTGCTAACGCAACGCAGCCTGTCCCAGACTCGCTATTAATCAATGGCGTGGGCCATTTCAACTGCTCCATGGCCGTACCCGCACGACCGGTAGACTGCGTCGAGAATTATATCGATTTGTCGTATCTTGATTTTGACGATGGCTTGTCCTACAGGATACGTGTGGTCAACACAGGGCAGGTGGAGAAGCGTCTCTCTTTGGTCAGATGCTAACCTACCACCAGGTCCTTTACAGGCTTTACCCTGAGTTTCGCCGAGAGCGTTTTCGATCTCATCCAACTCGATAGCAACGATGTGGAACCCCAACCACAAGCCAGTTCAGCCGGCGTGCTCTACCCCGGACAACGTATGGATGCAATCCTTATACCTTCATCAGAAAGTACCACACATAAACAGAAATCCATGACTATCAAAATCGATGACGAGTAAGCCCGAACCCCATATCCCAGGATATACGACAGGACCTGACCTCAAACTTCAGGAACCTCAGATACCTCAATCCAGCTCTGAGCGCAGAACAAACCTTTCTCATCACCACAGACAAGACCACCAGCCCCCAGGCAGACAGCTCCAACTCCAAGCCGTATCCTAAGCTCAATCTCGAGACTATCCCGTCTTCACAAACCATCCTTTCTTCACTCCCCAAGCACGCCAACCAAACTCACGTCGTGTACACCAAGATCCAGAAACTCTCCAAAAACCACAATGTCCCTTACGCCTACTTCAACCGCACCTCCTGGAAACCGCAAAGCAACCCTCCATCGCCCCTCCTCTATCTTCCCCGCGACAAATGGGACGAAAACCAACTCTCTATTGCTACAGGACCTGATCCGGTGTGGGTAGACCTGGTGGTGAATAACCTCGACGAAGGGGCTCACCCTTTCCACCTCGTATGGCTTCCCCCTCCCCTTCGCCTTCCACGGATGAAGTATCAAAACAGAACAGACAGAAGCTGATCATTCCCAGCACGGCCACCACTTCTACGTTCTACACGTGTATAAAGCTCCCATAGGCTGGGGCTCCTATAACCCCTTTACCGACGCGTATCCGCCAGGTTTAGAGCCTGTCGATCGTGCCAATGCCAATGACAACGGGGTCAGGGATGCTTCACCATATGATCTCTCCCGTGCGGTACTGCGTGACACGGTCCAGATCCCCAGTCGTGGGTATGCGGTTCTACGCTTCCGGGCAGAGAATCCAGGGGTGTGGTTGTTTCATTGTCATATTCTGTGGCATTTGGCGAATGGCATGGCGATGGTGGTGGATGTCATGAGTGATGAGACAATCAATGGTGTCTTCTCTGGTGGGCAGGAGTGTACAGCTATATAGGTATATGCATGAGTGTACGGAGTAACTACTGTTGAGAAACAATGGGGAAGACACCCTCGCGATGGCAATGCGATAGAGCTCAACAGGCCGCCGATGGAATTGCTTCCTCGGAGAGTTCCATTTGCGGCTGCGTACATCGCCTCCAGCAAGTGTGCATATCTTTAGTCTTTTTTTTTCGCTAGTAAAATAGATATTACGCTTATTTAGTCTGTTTTACGTCCCTGCATGAGCATATGACCACCTCACACTCTCCTCTAGCAACCATGCCCAGTGGTTATGCAAAAGCCATCTACGACTTCAGCGATAAGTTCTGAATACACACCCAAGAGATTATGGCCCGATTAGACCCAATTGTAATAGCCCCTGTCCGCAGAGGAGGGATGGTTGAATGGATTCTCCATAAGACTTAGATGTAATCCCAATGTTGGAACGATCTCTCCATCGGCAGGGCTTACTTGTGGGTTTCGCGGTTGCAGCTCTATGTAGAGTACTTCGCTTCCAAGGAAAAAATTCACAGGTATAGCTGCTTCATTGCCATATCGTGTCATGAAGTGATTGTTGGCAGGGGTGGTGATTGCCATGGGTGACGAGATCAGACGTGCAACTCTCTGTAGCAGAGAGAAGTGTGCAGCTATGTAGTGTAGGCTTAGTCTAATTATCATGACGATGCAAAGAAGCCCTGAGGTGCAAAGAGCCAGCTTTTGGTGGGGTTAACTAAGAAATCTACGTAGCCATCCTATGCCATTGGTATCACCTGTCCATTTCCCATTCTGCGTAATCAGACAAGACCGTCAACCGACCGCATGTCGGTGATAAGACATCGAAAGAAAGAAACAAATCAAACCACCAGACACCAAGCCGTAAGAATAACCCATAAAACTACACTAATCGTAATCATAAAACCCATTTAGGTAGAAGCGGACGCCCACTCAACGACCTCCAAGGCACACATGACAAGTATTAGAGTCGAAGGGAGAATCCTAGGATCCGTTAGTGTCTGAATCTTGAGATTGAGCATGCAAGTAACTTACCAAACAACATAGCTCTGGAACAAAAGCTTCGACATGGCAGAGACGTAGACATTATTGATCTGGCAAATCTGCGCCAGTTGCAGAGCGGACGGAGCTCCAGTAAGCAAGAAGCAGACAATAATGAAGATTGGATCGCCCAGGATACTGATAGGAACGTGTTTAGCGAGCAGAGCAAGGAGAGGGGCCATGATCAAGGTCGGTAGGAGCATGCGTGCCACGAGCGAGGCAATAATCAGCTTCTTCTCTTCCTTTGGATGCTGTAGGTCTTCGAGCGCTTCTTGAGACAAGGTGTTCCGTGCAAGGTTCGCTCCTAGGACGACCAGGATCAAGGGTACAGCAACTTGAGCATTCTGATTGATAGCTCGCGTGACCGAATTGTTCACGAAGGTATCCTCGTCGAAGAACAAGTGCTGTAGGGACGGCACGGATGCCACAATAATCGACACAAGCATAGCCCACAGAGGGGGGTTCATGAAGTCCCAGAGGCCATGGAAAAACCTTTTAATACCGCGAGCGCAAACAGACAAGGGTTTTTGTACGCTGGTCGGAAGTCGGCTGTACACTGCGTTTGTGCTTTTCTCCCAGCCGCTCGCGATGGAGCTTGTCATGCGACTGCGGCGTTGGCCTAGATACTCCTTGACTCGTTTGAACGGTCCCTTCTTGTGGTGGTGACCTTCGTGCGACAACTCAACGTTCGGAAACAACAGGATATCGCCTCCAGTACTTTGACGCGGAAGGAATGGTCCGCTGGGAGGGGGCCCAATCAGAGAAGGGGGGTGATCTGCTTCACCGTTCACTTTGCCATGAGTGGGCAGCTTCGTGTAGGAATACGTCCGGACTGTCACGGGGGTCTGTTCACCGGACGTGAACTCCTCCGTGTCGCCGGAGGAGCCCGCGGCACGGTGAGTAAGGCTATCAGAGCTTCGGGTTCTGACGAGTGGCTCATCTGGATCCGTCTGGTTCGGGTTGTCGCTGTAGCATGCCTGGCCTTGCTCGACTCGGGTCGCACCCTCTTCCCTCTCTGCCTCTTCCAGGTATCGTTCCTTCGGAGCAAGAAGAACATGATAGCCCCAACTCCAGCGAACGAGCTGACCTAATTGCTGGAATATGAGTAGGTATAGAATTCCACGGGCCGCCACCTCGTCATCGTTGTCATTGGGGACTTTGCTCCAGTGAAGGCCTTTTAGGGTCTGTGAGAGCGACATGACGAGGGATATAGGTAGAGAATTGGAGTTACCGAAAACCTGTAGATAGAGGAGATTAGATAGGCAACGCAGTGAGAAGATTTTGGAATACGTACAGCCATTGCAGCCACAAAATTGGCGGGTCGTTTTTTGAAACGGAAACATCGCGATATAACCCAAGCACAGGAGTAAGAGACGAAGGTCTGGACGATGAAGATAAACGGGATGATGGCAAGATCGGTGAGTTTCTCCGCCGTCAGTTGGGAACCAAGTTTGATGAAGACTGCGCGATATCAGCTTCAAAATTATCCACCGGAGTTAACAAGAAAGGGCTACATACTCAGACATGGGGTAAACAGCATGACGTTGAGGTTGGCGACCAACTTCTGAGCTTCTGCATCGAACATGCCCTGTTTGGCAACTATGTAACCGGGCAAGCTGACACACACGACCTCCAACACAGCTTCAAAAACCAGAAGGACGAGGTGGAAGAATGATGGGTGGCTCGAATGGGCGCCATTCTGAAGGATCCCCGGGTTCATGACCCCCGATTGCATCTGGGTCACGAACTGGCGGGGAACCAAGGCATTGACATTCTGAAGCGATGTGGGAGACGTAAAAATGGCCATGGACCAGGGAAGTTGTTGATTAGAATCACCCAGACGTGGAGGATGAGAGAAGGATGTTCGGTGGCGGGAAGCCGAAGGTGATGTCGTCGATAAGAAATTCTAACTATTTAAGGTTGCCGCCGGTCGGGCTTTCGCGCACACCAGGAGGTGAGAAGAGGTGGGAATCGGCGAGAGAAGAGACGGGATCAATTGAGAATAGTATACACCGTTGTTATACACAGTTGTAGTGACAGTAAAATATTGAGGATGAGGATGAGGACGAAGATAGAGATGAGAGAAATGGGATGGGGAAGCTCTTGCGGGATAGTTACAGAATTACCGGTAGTGGCAGTGCTGGATGGCGAATCGCCCAGAGGCTGAGCTGAGAAAGGAGTCTTAGCGCCAAGAAAGCGAGAAACGATAAGAATAAGATCGTTGAAGGGAGATCAATAGTCCTCAGTCAGTACAAAGCAAAGTTCCAGGTATCTTGAATGAAATGGTCCAGGTGACAGGCTGCTGAGATAGTGATGATATAACCACTACCTAATCCTTTGTCCGACCTCTAAAGGTGCCAGCGATGGGTTGACAACTGTTTTGAGGCTTCTTGTTCTTGCAGAGTTGATCCGGATCGATCCAGATGGCCGGCATAAAGGCATAAACGCCCATTCTGACGCAAAAGATGTGCCAAGCATCCAGTCAGAGTGAAGAATGTGCTACAATGGCACATTCTGCGGTAGTGATTGGCTTTATCACTTATCTATCTACGTACTCCGTACTCCGTACCTAGTTACCTTACTTTGGCTCTCCAAAGAGTCAACATAAGTACCTTGCTTCGATAGTCATTATTACCCCATACTTATCTCACTTGCGCAATTCCTCTTGATGTGCGAATCCTTAGAGAAGTACTACTACTTGCTTAAAGGTGAAAATCCATTATACAAACACAGGAGTCCTATCTCATACCTTACCTAGATACTGCAACTTGGTCTGAAGTCATCAGGAGTACGGAGTATACGGCACTACTACAGTTCTTGCTTGACATATCTGATAGACTTGGACAGTCGATGAGAGCTTTACCTCCATCACGTCATGATCGGCTCACATACATGTTGAATCCTTGCGGATACATTCAAAGTCCGACAGTTTGAATCATGAATATATAAAGTCATCGTCAGTCCTCTCTGTAATCATTCTGATGATACTTTCGAATTGGGTCGACTGCACCTCACTCAAGCCGACAAACACAACAGGATAAGGACAGGGACCTGAATATGATACCTAAATTATTGTTAAGAAGAACCACTGACAAGTTCCCTGGGTCTTGACGAATGGCTGCCGAACCACACGCAGTCGGGTTGCATTATTGATTACTATCAGTATCCGACGTTATACATGACTTCATCGGGTGCAAAGGACAGGTTAACGGGCTTGCCTTGGTGTTTCGTACCCGAATCAAGGTGGGAGACTTTAGGAGCAAACATGGGCAATAATAATAAGCACACAATCAACGGATTTTGCCTTCATTCCGATTCAGAGAGTATGACTGGCTGATCGTCATTGTGTCAAGTCAAACATTCATGCATTGCACCATCCACAGCAGCGCCACAACGGGAGGGACTTCAACCGATCGGCAACATGGCCAGTGAGCCCGCCAATGACAGCTCCTTTTGATCAATTAGAGACCATGGTGTATCATCAATACCTAGTAGGTAGCTAGGTACCTTACGGACTACGGAGTACTCGCAACCTTTCAAGAATTGGGGCTAAGGATTTATCAGGGATGGACAGGATAGCAGACACAGTGTAGCACAGTATACAGCGATGTCGATTGTCCGGTGATCGAGTCCTTAAAATAACTTCTCCGTGCCCAAAGTCAAGAAGGACGCCAAAGAACAGAGCTTGATATTTCTCCGAGCAAACACCTTGACTCCTTGACACAAGTCGTGAGGAATGAACTAATTACTTGGGAGGCTTGTGTCTGACGTAGTGTGGGGTTATCAATTCTCCAAAATCAAGATCAAACCTACGCCATTAATACTATTACCAAGAATCCAAGATACTGTGAGCAACAATAAGAGCTTCATTGACATGTGCCGTCAAAGCGAGAAACAGCCTACCTAGCTAGGTACCTTACTATCTAGAACTCCTGAAGTCGATGATATGGCTAGAAACGTAGT